AATAAAGAAATGCTCAGGCGTGTCATGCATAAAATTGTTTAATTGATTGCAAGATAGTGATGGCATGGGGCATGCGTACATTCTCAAGACATTCCCTCAGCATACGAGAATCAGAATGAAAAATTACAATGTTAGTTTGAATGTGATCATCGCAGAGTGTAGCCTTTACGTCCAATCAGTGGTTTCAGTGGGGAGACTTTACTACCTCTCAAGCACAGAAGAGGTCCATGGAGTAGGGCCTGAGGCTGGTTGTAGCAAGTAGTATCTCAACAGGCTCCTTTTAGTCTTCAGAGCGAGTCAGAGGCTCCATGCATTTATATACCTTGAGTGCTGTCATCTTCAATTATCATTGCCATGTTTTATGGCTGGTTCAAGAACTAATTGACATGCTTATGGTTGGTTAATTTATATAGGTTGCATTGCCAATGAGGGAATTGTTGTGTGAAAAAGCATTATACAGTCTAACATATTTGGTGCCATGGAGGCATCTATGCATTGGGCCGCTAAACTCGAGGTTAGCAGTTTGAAATCACCACCTGCTCCTTGGGAGAAAGAGGAGGCTTTCTATTCCTGTAATAAAGAGGTACAGTCTCAGAAACCCACTGGGCCGTTCTACTCTGTCTCTAGGGGAGTGCTGTGAGTCAGAATTGACTCAATGGCAGTGAGTGTTTTAAGACCCTAAACGAATCAGATATGATCTGGCAGTATACAGAAGGCAGGAGCTTCCAGGACTGGTTAAGATACGGACTTATTGACATCACCAAGGACTTAGCGTTGGCCTTAAAAATAGACTTTTTCTTCATAGACTCAGGATAGGCGACAGGGTTCCAGGCATAATGACATAATGATGTTTTTGTCCCAGAAGAGTCAGAGTGAAGATAAAAAGTAAATGAAGTATTTTTTTTTCCTGCACCAAGGTATGCCACATATTCATGCATAAACTGATCTTTGCAGAGGGGAACCACACTTAGAACTTACTTTCTGAGCTAGGGATAGTGTTTCTTTCTCGGAAGGATGGATTTCTCAAGATCATAGCACCTCTGTCCCCAAAGATGGCCAGTAGCCACTCAACTGTGCCTCTTAAAACTAGAGCGCCTTAGGTTTCCTCAAAATACCAGTAGTTCTGCGAGTCCTCCAATTCACCCTTGAACGTCCAGTGAAGAGTGTTTGAGTCTTGTGCTTTCTGTTTGTTTTTCTTTTGATTTCAGAACTTTACTTGGCTCTTCTTTCCGTGTGTTGGATTAAGGCACAGCGAAACACCTCCACGGCAAAATCAGCATCTGGTTTAGTGATACACATTGAGGGTGCAATGCGGAACGTCTGCGAAGACAAAGGGGGAATCATCATGGGATCAAATAAGCCTAGGCACAATGCCCCCAACTCAGAACCCAACCTTCCGTTTCCATGACACGTCTATATTCCACTTGTTGAGTTGGTCTCCTCTGTCCCTAATGTCCCAAAGACCTTTCATTTTTCACCTTCCTTGACTATCTGGGGCTGCCTCTTCTTTTTGTCATCTGCTCACCTTCTGCCCCTTCAGCTACCTGTTTGGAACGTACCTGCACTCCCTTTCGGCTATGGGAACATGGTGATCTCTATGATGGCATGTACAACTCAGCCAAACTAGCTTCCTAATTTCTTGATTGCTACAAGTCTCAGGACCTTCCCCTCGGCTTCTCTGAGTCCATTCATCCCCTAACACTGGAGCCAGGCACAACGTCTTCACCGGGAACAAGTCAGTTTCGGATTCCCATCCCATCTGGGCTTGATGAGACGGGTTGACACAGTGATGGCTCAACCCTAACAAAGGTGAGGGTGGCATAGGGCTGGGCAGTGTTTCATTCTGCTGCTCATGGGAGCTCTCTGAGTTAGAATGGAATCGATGGCACCTAACATTTCTGCTGGCGCCCCACACGTTTTGCTTGCTGCCTGCCTGGGTCCTTTCCCATTTTGAATGCTTATCATCTTCTCGATTTTCTTGCTGAATGTCTCTATGCTTATTCCCTTTCCTATATCTCAGTGAAAATGGGAGTTGGTGGGCAAGAACTCTTTAGAAACTGTCTGTGTCCCCAGCCTTTGTGTCCTCTTCCTTGAAGGTTTAGTGCATGGGATGTCTCTTCTATTGAATCCAACTCCATCACCTGCGCTCCACAACTCACTCTCATGTTCGCGTGCAGCTCCAACTTTTTCGGACCACACTCTCCCCCCAGCCTAGCAGCAAGCTGGTTTAAAGCTTCCTCAACCCAAACTCATGCCACCACCATAATACACATATATCTTTGTTGACCCTCTCCAGTCACCACATAAATTGACCCTTCTAATTTTATTCCAATTTATTAAAACAAAAACAACAATAACAACAACAACTGGTTGTTGTTGCTTGTCTATTATTTTTCATCCTCTCTGCCCCTATCAAATGATGGATTTGAATTGTGGTGCTGGGGAAGCACCACATGTACCATGTACCATGGACATGTACCATGAACTGCCAAAAGGACAAACCGATTGGAAGAAGTAAGGCTAGCGTGCTCCTTAGAAGAAAGCATGGGAAGACTGCGTCTTACATACTTTAGATATATTGTCAGGAGAGGCCAGTCCCCGGAGAAGGACGTCACGTTTGGGAAAATGGAAGGGTGGCCCCAAAGAGGAAGACCCTTGAGGAAACGGATGGACACAGCTGTTGCGTTGATGGGTTCAGGCACAGGAACAAGTGAGGATGGTGCAGGACGGAGCAGTGCTTCATTCTGCTGCGCACGGGGTCGCTACAGGTCAGAGCCCACTCAACGACACCCAATGCAGCACCAACTTACCCCATTACACCTCAGCCTGCCACAGCCTTCCACCTGCCAACTCTGTGATGTAAACTGCTGAGGGCAGAGTCCACTGGGCATTTTCCTGCCATTCTTCTTACTGGCCTTCTTACTCTTGGATCACTCCTTCAGCCCTCTCTACCTGTCCTCTCACCTGCCTGGCGCAGCCTGTCTCCAGGCGGATGGGCGCTTCTCATCTACCTGTCCTTTCAATGTTGCCACTGCCCAAGTGTCTCTCCTCCATCATTGCTTTGCACACACTTCTCAGGAGGTGGCCTTCTCTCATCACTACTGTGCGACTCCCAAACTGTGTTCACTAGCTCAGCTCCTTCTTCAGAGCTACCAAAAAGATATACATCAAACAAAAAATCCCCCCAGCCCCCCAAACTAGTTTCTGCTGAGCCGATCCTACTTCTTGGGGAGCCGTGTGCTGCAGCGAACACCTGTGTTCTTCCAGCCGGAGATCATCAGACCTTTCTGGGTGTATGTTCACTTAGCAGGTGAGCACTTAATCATTTGGCCACTCAGGAAGCACTCCCTCTGTGCTGCAGACCTGTATATAAAACTAGATGTTCTAGAAACACCTCAAACTGGCTATTTTCAGAGCCAGTTCATCCTGGCCCTCTGAAGCTGTGATAGATTCAGTCTTCAATTTCCTTTCTCACTGTATAGCCAACTCCGGGCCATTTCACACTGAGACCGGCTCTGGAATAGTCTGCTCTCCTTTCTCTCATTGTTCAAGTTCTCCGGCTCCTCCTTAGACTCTCTGCCTCCAGTCTTGCCCCTCCAGTTTATCCTCCTCAGAGGACAGACTCAGAAATTCCACTGCCTGGGCCTGCCGCTTACTAGGGATGTGACCTGGGAAACCTATTTAAGCTCTCAATGGCTCTTTGCACCTGCAGAAGAAAGATGGTAATGGTGCTAATGTCCTCGGCTGGTCGTGAGCCTTCAGCGAGTCAATAGGCAAATGGTGTTTAGAACAGAGCTGGAGAGGTGGGGAGGGCCCCCTCTTCCTGCTGCCACCTCATTTCTTCCCTCATCTGCTGTTCAAACGTCACCCTCCGGTCACACTCACGTTTGTCACTCTGCACCCTGCCTTCCTGTGGCAGTTATATAAGCATTTGTCAATTTGAGGATTAAGGGTGTAGGGGTGGAGTCTAACCTGTCAATCAGATCATAGCCAATGAGGTCTCTGTGTGGGCATGGCTTTCTCCTGAGAATTCTGGGAATCTGCCCAGTATTTCCTCCATGGAGACAGGAGAGACTTTCACTACTTCACTCCCTGGGAGACACTGCAGAAGACAAGCCACATGGATGGAACCAGACCTCGGAAGCCGGAGAAGCCACAGAGAAACCCCTGCCAGCGCTGAGATGTTTCCAACGACACTGGATCCAAAGACTTTCTACCCGCTGGCCTGTGATCTTCTGCATTCAGCGTCATTGCATGTGTTTTGTGAATCTGAAGAGTACCTTATAGATTGATATCAGAAATATGGGCTAAAATCGGACTTATGGACTTGATCTGGACTGGACTGGGATGTTTCCTCAATGTCAATTGCTCTTGTATATAAATCTCTTTCTAATACACATATGTGTGTCCATGGCTACCTGGACTAACACACTTCCTTATATTTTCCATATTGAGTTTCCAAGGAGGAAACTATTTAGAGGTGTGGAAAGCATGGTCTTTCTCCAGAGGAGCAGCTGGTGGTTTTGAACTGCCGACCTTTTGGATTGCAGCCCAATGTGTAACCACTACACCCTCAGCACTGCTAGGTCCAGCTTCAGCCCGAAAGAATGTCGTAGGGTCTCTTTTCTTTTCTCCTGTAGTGAGCCTTTTTATTTCTATAGGTAAGCTTAATATATTTACTGACTATCTCTCTTTCCCACCAGCTCAGTGAGCGCAGGGACTGGGTCTTATTTATCATTGTAACTTCGGGACACAGCATAACTTCTGCCTCTTAACAATTACTCAATGGTTACCAAATAACAAATGAAGTAATTAGTGGCTTGATTTATTTAAATGCTGCACGCCTTAGGATTTTTAATTATGAAATTGTGCTAAATTGTTCAGAAAAATAATTATGATCAGGACTACAAAAAGAGCGCCTCCCAGCAAGAGCTTGCTTTCTCCGTTGGTTGGTGCGGTTTGCATTGGGGCTGGGAGAGTCCTGCTGGCTTAGAGGCTGAGCAGGAGTTGAGGGGATGCAAGAGAAGACAAGGATGACTCCTGGAGCAAAGGTGGATGGGCCTTGGAGGGTCAAGGGCCCAGGTGGTCGATTTGGCTTTGAACAGGATTCCTCTCAATTGTCAAGACAGGATGGAATGGG